CCAAACTTTTTAAAGGCCAACATGATCCCACAGGGGGAAATTCCATACTTGACCTCATGATGGGCTGTAGTCAAAATGCGGTAAAAACTTGACTTCATGCACAAAATCATGAAAGATTGTATAAAATTACCTTCAGACTACGTTTATAAGGCATACATGAAACATACGTGAATTCTGTATTTAGGTTTCGATCTCAGTCCCAAGATATCATTATGCATATGCAGATATTCCAAAAACAATAGGAAATTGGAAACAATTCTGGTCCCAAGCACCACCTTGTCTGAGATGCCTGGTGCACCCATCATTACGAGAAGCAGCTCTCTGATCATTAGAACTTCCGGGTCTCTTTCCTAGTGCTGGAATTCCCAAGGAGGCTCTCAAGACATTACAGACAGAGCTTAGCAAAGCAGAGGAAGGCCTCTGTGACGTGGAAGGATCAGTCCCACTATTACTCCAATAATGTTTTAAACAGGAAATATATATATATTTTTCAGAGTCTCACCCTGTCGCCCAGGCTGGAGTGCAATGGCGCGATCTCGGCTCACTGTAACCTCTGCCTCCCGGATTCAAGCGATTCTCCTGCCTCAGCCTCCCGAGTAGTTGGGATTATAGGCATCTGCCACCATGTCCGGCTAATGTTTTGTATCTTTAATAGAGATGGGATTTCAACAAGTTGGCCAGGCTGGTCTCGAACTCCTGACCTCGTGATCCACCTGCCTCGGCCTCCCAAAACGCTGGGATTATAGGCATGAGCCACAGTGCCAGGCCAGACAGGGAGATATTTTACACTTAACCTAGTGCTATCTGCAAAGCAGGGATATATCAACAAACACTTTTCTATTTGGACTGGAAATGTTTCAAACATTTATTTTTGTCTGTCTACTTAAATGTGTAAAATGCATTTGTGTGTAAAATTATAAATGTGAAATGCATTTGTGTGTATAAAGACTCAGCCTATTTAGTTCTTGTAGCAGAGATCTCTTCTAATGACTGGTTAACAGCAGCCAGCTCCACTTCCTGCTTCCCTGCAGGGTAACTAATTAATAAACGTTCCCCTAATTGAGTTCTGGCTGCCAGGTCCACGGGGATTATTACTTATATGTAAGTAAACAAAATTTCCATTTTAAACAATGCTTCAGACCTCCTCATTACATTTTAAACAGTTATAAATTCATGAAGTCAAGCAAGTCCTGGGCAGGGAGGACGAGTGCAACGGGGTCAGGATCCTTTCTCCTCAAGAGGAAAGAGAGGTCCCCCAGTCTCCGATCCCCGGAGCCTGCCCTCCTCCCGCTCTTCATCCACATCTACTGAAACCTCAGGAAGGACCTACAACAGGTTCTGGAAGCCATTCATGGTATTTGCCTTTTCCTTTAACCTGAATGCATTATTTAAAAGCAATTCTCTTTCACAATTTAAAAACAGGAAGAAGAGCTGGCTGTTGAATATTTAGTAAGTGTGCAGGATTCCTTAGGTACTGATTTGGTGGATCACCGAGTTTGGCTGAATTTCAGGTTCCTACATTTGAAGTCATTTAATCAACTGTCTCCTTGTTTTCAAGATTTCTCCCGACTTTCAGATTCCAAATCGAAAGCAGAACCGAAAAAAAGTAAAAAACCAAAAATAGAGTAGTTCTCAGTTTGGTTTGAAACCTGGAAGGAGGAGAGATTATCCCATCTCCTGAGTTTTTCTGATCCGTGCCATTTGGGAGTCTTTTGGCTCAAGATTTAGATGTTTTATGAGTCACTCTTTGCAGCAAGTACAAGAAAGTACTTCAGGCCCTGGTGATGATGGTGATGATGATGATAACAATTGGCAGCTGTTTAAAAGAAGAAACTAAACATTCGTCAGACCCTCACATTCACAGGGCGAAGACATTACCCAGGAGGAAACAGGGAGGGCGGGTTCAAGGCCAGCTTCAGACATCAAGAGAAGTGTGGTTATATTCTGCAGTAGATTTTAAAGGTCTGGATATCCTCGTCCCCGTCCTAACGTCTGTTTCCCTCTTTAAGAACGTTATTCTGGCCGGTCGCGGTGGCTCAAGCCTGTAATCCCAGCACTTTGGGAGGCCAAGGCAGGTGGATCATGAGGTCAACAGATCGAGACCATCCTAGTCAACATGGTGAAACCCTGTCTCTACTCAAAATACAAAAAATTAGTTGTGCATGGTGGCGCGTGCCTGTAATCCCAGCTACTCGGGAGGCTGAGGCAGGAGAATTGCCTGAACCCAGGAGGCGGAGGTTGCGGTGAGCCGAGATCGCGCCATTGCACTTCAGCCTGGGTAACAAGAGTGAAACTCCATCTCAAAAAAAAAAAAAAAGAACGTTATTCTAAACGGAAGCGCTCTACATGGTGCGAGCCTGTTACTGAGAATAAATCTCCCAAGAGATTCCCATTCACTATATTCCTATTCACTCTGCTCCTCTCCAGTCAGACTTTGCTCATGGGCTGTCAAGAGAGATCTGGCCCCCTGCTAATGGGCCACCTCCCTGGGGCACCCAGCCTGCTGCATGTGAGGACCGGAACCTCTGGGTTCCCCACAGCTGCCACTGTAGGCAGCTCAGAGCTGATGATCACAGCCATAAAGAGCAACCCCACTTAGTGGAACTGCAGCCCCAGCTGTGGATATTTTCCTTGTGTCCTGGTGGTAGGGTAGGAGCCAAGCCTCCAGGCCCAGTCAAAACTCAGGGAACATCAGACGTGAGCTGCAGCATGAGCAAATCTCACATGCATCACGCTACGTGAAAGCACACAGACACAAAAGGCCACATCCGGAGCCCATTCCTAGGATATTCCGGATAAGCGCAAAACCAGGACAATGATCAGATCTGTGGATGCCAGGGGCTAGAGGTGGGGAGAAGGGACAGAGGGCGAGAGGGAAATTTAGCCTCATTCTCTATGTTGATGATGGCAGTGGCTACGTGACTATATGGATTGGCCAAAACTCATCTAAAGACACATAAAAGTGATGTTTCACTGAACGTAAATTATACTGCAATAAACCTGGATTTAAACAATGACTAAGGAGTAGGAAGAGAGGTGCTGAGTTGCTCCCATAGCTCTCTCTCCAGGAATACTGTTTTCCAAGTCCTTTGAGCCACAAGTAGGCTTAGGGAAGAATCGGGGGGAGCCTGTCCACAGGTCCCAGCTGGATGTCTTTTTTTTATTTTCTGAGACAGAGTCTTGCTCTGTTACCCAGGCTGGAGTGCAGTGGCATGATCTGGGCTCACAGCAACCTCCGCCCCCCCTGTTCAAGTGATTCTCCTGCCTCAGCCTCCTGAGTAGCTGGGAGGTGGGCATCAACACATTTAGTTAATTTTAGTAGAGATGAGGTTTCACCATGTTGACCAGGCAGGTCTCAAACTCCTGACCTCAAGTGATCCACCTGCCTCAGCCCCCCAGAGTGCTGGGATTATAGGTGTGAGCCACTGTGCCTGTTCCCAGTTGGAGGCTTTAATTCCAGGCTTTATCTAGAACAGCTTTGCAACCTCTCTGCTTTAGTCAATTAGCTTTACAATTTCCAGTCCAGACCAGGGTTAGACTCTTTTTTTTTTTTTTTTTGAGATGGAGTCTAGCTCTGTCACCCAGGCTGCAGTGCAGTGGTGCTATCTCGGCTCACTGCAACCTCTGCCTCTAGGTTCAAACAGTTCTACTGCCTCAGCCTCCCAAGCAGCTGGGACTACAGGTACCTGCAACCACACACAGTGAACTTTTCTATTTTTAGTAGAGATGGAGTTTCACCATATTGGCCAGGCCAGTCTCAAACTCCTGACCTTGTGATCTGTCCACCTCAGCCTCCCAAAGTGCTGGGATTACAGGCATGAGCTATCGTGCCTGGCCCAGGATTAGACTCTTAACTCAGTTTTCTGATTGCTTTTCTGGCATCCAGTGTCTCTGAGACAATCATGCAGAAGGCGCAGCCAGATGCCTGTGTATTGAAAGCCCTACAGAGATGGGCACGGAGGAACCACAGAAGCCACTGCCTGGCCAGCCCGACAGCCGTTACCCACAACTTGCCTTGGGAACCCAGTGAAATCAGCAGACCACTTTGCCCCTGGTTCAGGATCCCCACTGGAAACATGCAGCTGATCGTACTCAACTCTGTCAGGTATAGAGTAGACACCACTTCACCGAGGACGGAGAACTGCCCCACGGCCCTGCTGATTCTGCAAACGCAGCCAGTGGGGTCTGGAGAGGCACAGGTTGGGTTCCTGGCAGTGCAGCTCACTCAGAGACCACGCACCATGCCTGGGTTTTAACAGCAAACCTTGACTGACAGGCACGATTTGAGGGAGGCAGCCAGGGTCTGGTTATTCAAAAGTCTCATTTCCATGCTATTTAAAAAACATGGCCCCTATAGTGGACTCAAGCTAATGATAAGAACACACCGCCCGGGGCTTGGGTGGATCGATGCTGGTGTTTCTGGAGGAGCATTTTTAAGGTCTGTGAACAAAAAGACACTGCGAGGCAGTTGCTTTCCTTTTGTAAGTTCAGCCCCTCACCTGCTCATGGCAATCACATTCGTAAATCATCTTTACCAAAGCGGACTCCTTTCCCTGGATTGTTCAAAAGTAAACTTCCGCCCAGACACTGTAATTACCTTGAATTATGAGTCACTGAAATGCATACTGTACTCTATTAAGAAAAGTCTGGCTGGGCGTGGGGGCTCACACTTGTCATCCCAAGCCCAGGGGAGGGAGTTCTAGACCAGCCTGGACAGCATAGTAAGGTCCCATCTCTACAAAAATAAAAATTAAATAGCAAGGTGTGGTGGCAGGAGCCTGTAGTCCCAGCTACTTGGGAAACTGAGGCAGGAGGATCACTTGAGCCCAGGAGTTTGAGGCTGCAGTGAGCTGTGATTGTGCCACTGCACTGAAGCCTGGGTGACAGAACAAGACCCTGTCACACAGACACACACAAAGGTCATGGTTGCCTGAGGGGTTCCTGGCTGGGGCCAGAGCCACTAAGGAGGGACGAGGGGAGAGGGGTGCTGGTCGACTTACTTCCGCCTTTCCCGCTCTTCTCCATCCGGTACTGGTAGATGTGCAGTGTGAAGAACATGTGTGAGTTACGGTGGTCGTCCTCGTCACAGTCCTGCTGGTGGCTCCTGCGGGAGGCAATGGCGGCGTCCAGGAAGAAGGCGGCCTTCTCCGCGGTGGGGGCCCGCAGCTCGCTCTGGTTCTGCAGCTGGAAGACAGAAGCCAAGAGATGAAGCTTTCAGACTCCACCTGTCTAAGCTCGAAAACGCTTCTGGAACCAGGTGCTGCACTCGTGTGCAATTCTCAGCTTAATTAATTCATTTCTGAAAATTAATATTGAGCATACTTATTGGATGAAACCTATTTTTACCCATTTGACATCCTAAGTAGAATCTGGAAATATGGGTTGAAAAGCTGGGAGCAGATGGACAACAAGCCAACACCCGTGGCTATCCCTTCACCTAAGAAAACAGGAGGGTGTGGCTGCATCTTGATTCCAAAGATTGGATTGTTTGGAGCCAGGTCTGCTGCAAACTGTAGACCTGATAGCAGTGGTACCCCAAAGAGGTTAAAATCTCAGTTAGCTTTCAATGGACTCCCGGTTTTTCAGTTACTTGGTTAAAGCCAATTTTAGGTCATATTTTCTAGCATAGTTATAAATAAGCCAGTGTAAACGGCACCCTGGAACACCCACGACACTTGAATGTCTCATCTAAATGTAGGAGATGTCTAAACATAGGCGATATCCATGTTCCTGGCATCCTCATGAATCGATTAAAGAAAGCGTAGAAAGCAGTGTGCCTAAATCTTATGAAAACACTTGGCAATTATTTTAAACCTGAATCACAACAATCATCTTAACAGAATTTAACCAGCACTCCTCTTTTTGGGGAGAAAAGGAAACTCGTGTTTCTGATTTGTTCAAAGAACTAATTTGCAATACATGTCTCGAGGTTGGTACAAATTCTGATAATTTTCTACCCTAACTATACAAAAATTTTGAACTCACTTTAAGAGCTAACATTTGGCCGGGCACGGTGGCTCAAGCCTGTAATCCCAGCACTTTGGGAGGCCGAGGCGGGTGGATCACGAGGTCAAGAGATCGAGACCATCCTGGTCAACATGGTGAAACCCCGTCTCTACTAAAAATTACAAAAAATTAGCTGGGCATGGTGGCGTGTGCCTGTAATCCCAGCTACTCAGGAGGCTGAGGCAGGAGAATTGCCTGAACCCAGGGGGCGGAGGTTGCGGTGAGCTGAGATTGCGCCATTGCACTCCAGCCTGGGTAACAAGAGCGAAACTCCGTCTCCAAAAAAAAAAAAAAAAAAAAGAGCTAACATTTAGAACCCGAGACCATCAAAACCCTCAAACTTCAAAGAGAGATTCTTTTGTGTTCACAATTTTGACTCGCTATGGAAACATAAACCAAAGCATTTCGAAGATTTTTCAACGAGAATTGAAGGCAGCATCATCTTTCCCTCTTTTCTTTGTCTTCATGTAACCAGATCTTTCAGCCCTAAGTGGACCTTCATCAATGAAGCTCTAAAATCAACAGAGGTGAAAGCAGATTTCAATGCCTAGGAAATGCCCGGAGCAGGAACGCTGGGTCGGGCCCTGCTGGTGGATGGCATCGCGGGCACTGCACAGATGCTGATGGACGGCATCGCGGGCACCCTGTAGATGCCGTCTCAGCACATTTCACGCCTCAAAGCAGTGCTTTCGAACATGTGAGCCCCGGACCAGCACCACCAGCATCTCACGGGAACTGGTTAGAAATCCATGCACACTTTGGAGCTCTACTCCAGCCTATGGAATTGGGAGCTGTGGGGGTAGTGTCCAGCAATCAGGGTTTAAACTAGTCCTCTGGTGACTGATGCAGACGAAAGAGGACTCAGAGGAAGACAGAAGGATGAGGGGTTTTAAGCAGGGGAAGAGCATGGTCACGTTTGAGCAGAGGAGTATGACAGGCCACAGGAGGTATCTTCATCTCTGCAAACAGTCCTTGTTGGGAAGAGGCAGGTACTTATATTTCTTTTCTTTCTTTTTTTGAAACAGAGTCTCTCACTGTCACCCAGGCTGGAGTGCAATGACATGATCACGGCTCACTGCAACCTCCGCCTCCTGGTTTCAAGTGATTCTCCTGCCTCCCGAGTAGCTGGGATTACAGGTGCTCGCCACCATGACCAGCTAATTTTTTTTTTTTTTAGTAGTGACAGGGTTTCACTATGTTGACCAGGCTGGTCTCAAACTCCTAACCTCGTGATCTGCCCGCCTTGGGCTCCCAAAGTGCTGGGATGACAGGCGTGAGCCACTACGCCCGGCCGAGGCACGTACTTATCAAACAGAACACCTTCTAAAAAAGGAGGCATCTGATAAAACGGGAAACTAAGGCCCACTGCTAGAGACAGTAAGGACTGATTATTCTGGAAATGAACTGTGGCTCCCGAGTCAGTCCTACATCTATTGTCAAACAGCAAAGGAGAGACCCTCACAAGACACAGCATCCTCAAACTGCGAACTTCTCTTGGCTTCCACAGCTCCAGCAACTATATCATGGTTCTAATTAGAAAGTGGTTATTAGTTTTTCCTGTAGCACTGCTAATCCAGCTGTAAACCAGTGCCAGAAACACAGTTTATAGAGTCATAAACAGCCCCGGTAATGGCTGTAGCTATTGGTGAAGAGCAGTAAATATTTTGGTTTGTTGTTAAACAAAAGAAAGATTGTCCTTTTTTTTTTCTTTTGAAAGGGGCATAGAGGAAGTGAATTCAATTTCTCTCTGAAATGCTATAACAATTGTGGTTCCTGCTCATTGTCAATTAAAGTCAAGGTACAAATATTTAGACTGGCCAAGCAGACGGCCCGGCAGCTGCAGGCTATACAGTTCCAGGCCACTTTAAAGTAAACACCCATAAGCCTCCCAGTTTACAGGCCGAGTGATTCACAGTCGAGCTGGCCCAGCCTCTGAGGTGGGGAAGAGGCTACCAGGCTTCACTCACCTGCGTGCCGCAGATGGGGTCCTCACAAAGGTACACGCCCGGGGACTGGCCGTCCTGCAGGCTGCCCGTGGCCACCTCCGACAGCAGGTCCCGCAGGTTCTCCTCCTTCCCCCGCACTTCCACGGCAGAGATCCGGACCGAGAAACGGGCGCCGGTCTTTTCCTTCCGTTCGTTTATGAGCTTGAAGAGCCAAGAGATGGCACAGGGGATGATGCCCAGGTCCTGCATGGAATCGTCCTTCCCAATCATGGTATAGGATTTTCCTGGGAGAGCCAGGGGAGGAAGAAAAGCAGTTTGAGTGTTCATGCATCATTCCACAGAGGCTCAAAATAGATGCCACGGATGTAGAAGAAAGGCATGGGCAAGTGGGGCAAAGGAACGAAAAGAGGAGAGAAATACCATCTGACAACAAGGCGTTTTCTGGCATTACTAATTAAATGGCCATAATGAAGAAGGCTGCTGGGCTCAGTGGCTCATGCTTGTAATCTCAGCACATTGAGAGGCCAAGGTGGGAGGACTGCTTGAGGCCAGGAGTTCCAGGCCAGTCTGGGTGACATACTGAGACCCTGCCTCTATAAACAAATGTTTAAAAATTAGCTGGGTGTGGTGGGGCATGCCTGTGGTCCCAGCCACTTGAGAGGCTGAGGCGAGAGGATCGCTTGAGCCCAGGAATTGGAGGTTACAGTAATCTGTGAGCATGCCATTGTCCTCCAGCCCAGGCAACTGAGAGCCTATCTCTTAAAAAACGCAAAGCAAGAGCCCAGACAAAATTAAATCACAGCGCACCTTGAGGAGGACCTCAAATATCGCATGCTATCCAGTTTCCGCACTGTTTACACAGCAGGAGGGAGGGGGCTTTTCCATCATGGTTCTCTTTATGGTCACCCACAGATTAGTCCACATATTCACCCTTTATATCCTTTTTCAAGTTAAATGCAGTGTATATTTTTACGGCATGAGCAAATTTCATTAGAATCCAGACGAAGGGCAGGGAGGATGGAAGTGCAGAGAGGGGCCATGGCTTTCTGTCCTGGCTGAGAACCGGCCTCCGTGAGCTCTGCCAGGCCTCTGTTGGAATCTCTGCCAAGGGACACTTTTTGGAGCTCCTCAATTCACTAAGCATATCAAGTGTGTAGAGCAGATGGCCACAGGCCAGAATTAAGAAGGGACTGGTGGTGGCAGGGGGCAGATTATGAACCTCTTGCTGGGGGACTCTGCTGCCTCCTTTCCCAGATGCTTCAGCGCTGGAGCGTTCCTGACAGCGGGCAACGCTTCCCCCAGAGGCGACCCACCACAGCCCTGGCTTTGCTTGCAGGTTGCTCCTCTGGTTTTTTTTTGGAGATGGAGTCTCTCTCGTCACCCAGGCTGGAGTGCAATGGCGCGATCTCGGCTCACCGCAACCTCCTCCTCCTTGGTTCAAGTTATTCTCCTGCCTCAGCCTCCCGAGTAACTGGGATTACAGGCATGTGCCACCACGCCGGCAAATTTTTTGTATTTTAGTACAGGCAGGGTTTTGCCGTGTTGCCCAGGCTGGTCTCGAACTCCTGAGCTCAGGCAATCCACTCATCTCAGCCTCCCAAAGAGCTAAGATTACAGGCAAGAGCCACTGCGCCCGGCCCTCTCTGGCTTTTACAAGGGCTCCAACCACCAACCCACATCCTCGTGGAGGCGCGGTGCAAGGGGCCCTATCTGCTTCCCCAACAGCAGCTGCTCAGGAAGTCAATGTTTCCCCGCCTGCCTTCTGGGCTTCTGACCTGGACCCAGTAGGAACAACCCTGCTGCTTCTCTGTCCATCTCTTGGACTTGAAAGCTTTCCTACATGAATGGGTGTCCGCCTGCGATGAACAACATAGTGTTCGTCATGTAACTTGTTATTGGTTATTTAGCTCAGCACCTAAGAGAAACACAACCCTTCCCTTCCCCAGAGGACTCTGGGAGGGACACAGAAGAATGCAGGGGATGACAGGGAGCCCGCCGAGCGGCACCAGAAGGTGAAACTCTCACGAACCCAGCTTGGCGTGGCCGAAACAGAACACGCAGCCGTCTGCCCCGTTGACCACAGACTGGATCACTTCTGCCACGGTGCCCGCACACACTTCAGCCTGTCAGACACAAGAGGAGACACCAGCCGTGAATGGACCGCGCAGTGGAGGCATCACTAACAACGAAAGTGAGCCCACCTTCCCGGGGCTTTGGGGCCCCGTGTCACTGTGTATCAGGTGGGTCGGCCTCTGCCGTGACGTCCTGGAGATGCTCAGAACCCTCGGCTACCTTCCGCCCTTTGCAAGCCTGAGCAGTACGCACGTGAGCTGCAAACCACCCTCCTGCTAATCTTTGGTACATTTCAGCGGCTGCGTCTGTAGACCAGGCAGGGACAGGCTGGAATGGACCTCGTTCCCTTCCCTCATCTGCCATCTGGCCCCCCGGACAAGACCTTTAACCTCTCCGTTCACTCTCTGCTAACACACGTATACACATAGTTTATAGGACAGGCCAGGCTTCCTAGTGGGGGAAAAGCTGACCCACCATTTCATAAGTGTGGAACGTAGAAAAGTTCCTCTTCAAAGTTCCTTGCTTGTTAAAACATAAATTTGCTAATAACTCTTTGTTTAGCCCTATCCCGTGTAGCTGTTAAACATGCTATACTTACAGGCACATAGTACATTCTATGTCCTTATGCTTTAACCAAAATATCTGTGCTGGACATGCTCACAGCTCATAGTCTATGCCCCTTAGCTGTTAGGTGCTCTTCAGCCTGGGGTGTGTGTCTGCTCTCCAATTTGATTATTAAATCATCGACAGGGACCAGGCCCTGGAGGACACTTTGTATTTCCCCTGAACACCCATTAATAGAGTGCTCTGCAGTTTTGTGGACTAACTTGGAAATCTAGGAAATGTCCTTCTCTTTGGTTAGCACCTGAGACTTGTCACAGCCACAGGACGACAGCATTCTTCCTGCGCCCTGCTGCCTTCACTTCTGTCTGGGGGCTGGAGTCAGAGCTGGTGGAAGCTCCGCCAGGCGGTGCTAACACAGGGCTTTGTGGTCCTTGGGGCAGCGTGCGTCCCAGTGGGCACCTGGGCTATGAATGCTGTCATTCAGCTGCAGGCTCCAGCAGCACAATGAACCCGAGTATTTGGAAGTCAGTTTTCTCTCCTAAACTGAAAAACCACACTTCCAATAACTGTCCCTTGTTCCAGGGTGGGCCTCAGACACTCTGTGGGGGCAAAGGGGCTCCTCCTGGGCCAAAGAGGGTGGCAGAACAGGGCTGCTCTGGGGAACACAGGATCTTTCAAACCCCCAGGACCTAGGCAGGGAGAGCCCCGTGCTAACCCTGACACAGAAGTAGTAGCATCTTGATGGAATTTGCAAGAGACATCTGCAGAGCAGGCAGAAGGCTGCCCAATGAACTAAGCCTTCTTTGGAGATAAAGCAAGATGGGAGGCTAGAGGCTGCAATCACCTTGAGCTATACCTACAATAAGCGGTGTTTGATTCTTGAGGCACCTGGGAGAATGCTGGGTGTGTGTGGACCACACGGGGTCACCTGTTCAGAGGTTGGGGCGAGAGGAGGCCTTGCTGTGCAGAGTTAGGGGGGCATCCCCTGAGAGTTCCCCCTCGGCTCTCCACTGAGAAGGGTGGTAGTGGGCAGTCCATCTGGTGTGTGTTAAGAGCTGACACTGGCCCCTGGAGGCCCCTCACTGCTCCCCTTGGAGCTGGAGAGGCACGCAGCCTTCCCGAGCATAGCCCCATGGGCAGGGCCAGGTCTGCAGGAAGCTTCTGCTTGCCCACAAGTCCGGGTTCTCATCTCAGCAGACGTGTGTCCCAGCAGGGGCAGCCAGTGACTGCTGAGGCCACTGAAGGGTAATATGGATGTCTGCCAAAGGCAGCTAGCAACCAGGACTGTTCCGATCATTGCTTAGCTGATTTCCTTAGAGGCCAGGAGAAAGCACAATTTGTAACTGCCTGGTCACCACGGCTGTGGCTGTGGCTTCACAGGCTGAAACTCGGGGCTCAGAGCAGAGGCCCACTGCACACACTCCCCGCTTTCAGGCTTTGGGAGCTCCAGGGGTGCTCGCCCCGGCCAGCAGCATGCTACTAATATTCACAGTGATAACAGTAAAAGCTAGCCACATTTATTGAGCACTTGCTGTGTTCCTGGCTCTGCCGTGAGCACCTCATGTGTGTCAACTTGACGGATCACACTGGTCATGTCCCCATTTGACAGATGAGGACACTGAGGCCCAGAGAGGTTGAGTGCCTCGCCTGAGGCCACATTGCTAGGAAATACTGGATAAAATGGAGGGAGGTCAATGACATGATACCATATGGAGCAGGATACAGAGACGTAATAGGAGGAATTCAGGAAGGACGTCTGCTCGGGAAAGGGACTTTGAACAAGGGACTTAATCTTTGAGTCTCGGATTCCTTGTGTGTTATGTGAAAACAGCAATGCCTCCCTTCCTACCCCACTGAAATCTAGGGTCAAATGCTTTCATGTCCGTGAAATGTCTTGAAAACTGCCCATGTCTACAGACATGTAATTCAGTATAGCACTGGCAATTTGAATGAAAGGAAGGCATTCCGAAACGAGTGGAACTCCAACACTGAGCATAGGGAGCTCTGGAGCCAAGTGTGAAGTAAACAAAGACTAGCAATAACGACGCCTCCTTTCTCTGGTATAAATCTAAAACTCACTAATAGTCCCTGCTTAACTTAGGGGTTGCTTTGGAATCCTTACACCTTGCGGAGGTTTACTTCTGAAAAGTTTTAACTGTTAATTAAATTATTTATAGACCATTTATTAGAGCCAATGTCAGGTTTCAATTCCTGAGCCCATTGGGTGGCATGCCACACAAAAAAATGTGATAAAGAGAGAAACCGTAGAACTTATCTAAAGTACTTTGTCTTCTTGGGTAAAACTCTTTGGGGAAACCACATGCTAAAATTCTGAATGAATGGTGCTTATAACATGTGTTATGTAGTGTAATATAGGAGCCGGTGAGAACGCCACCACCTCCTCCACTCAGATGCAGCCTGGAGGAAATTAACAGAGGCTGCAAATGGCAGCATTCGCGCTGCTGTCCTTGGGTTCTGCTGTGGATTATTAGTTACTATACACTCTGATGTAAATGCACTAGAAACTGATAAAAAAAAATCGCAAAGTCCAGGCTACAGAGGGCACTGTATACCTGTGACCTGGGCTATTTATTTCTGCAGTTAGTTCTACACACATGTCCCCTCTCCATCCCCTGCAGGAACAGGTACTGTTTGGTGCCACTCAGAGGCCCATCTTCACCAAAGCTCCAGAGTGAATCCCAATGAGAACAGATGTCCACTAGAAGCTTTAGTTGCAGCGTCTGGTAGGGGCTACAGTTCGCTGGCTGCCATGGCCCAGTCATCTTGGTACCCTGGGCCCCCAAGTAGCCTCCCAGTTATGCTCATAGTAGATTAATAAAAATGGCCCCAATTCTCCACCCCAGTCTAGGTACAGCCCCCTTGCAATGTGACTTGGAGCTCGTCCAGTCATGAGGAGCAATCTCTTCCCCATGTCTTGAAGCTGGGCCAGTAGAATCCAGCAGAAGTGGCATTGGGTCAGAGCTGAGCTTAGGCCTCAATAGACCTGTACGCCTGGGTCCTGGACAGCACCTTAAGAACTAGCCCAGGCTTGCCTGCTGGATGATGAGAGACAATGTGGAAGAGAGACCAGCTGACCTGGTCAAGGCTATTCTAGACCAGCGTAAAGCCAGCCAGCCCCAAAGACATGTGCCTACAGTATAATATAGGATTAATCCAGCCAAGATCCACAGAGCTGCCTACCCAACCCACAGCTGATGATAGACATAAACATGAGCTGAGCTAGGAACAGAAGCTGAGCTGCCCTATGAGCAATAACAAATGCTTCTTGTGTTAAGCACTGAATTTGAGGGTGATTTGTAATGCAGCAAGTAAACGAATGTAACACCTATCCCCAAGCCACTCTTCTTCCCCTTCACTCCACTGAGCCAGGCCACAGGACGCACGTCAGCCTGTTTCCCTGCCTTATATTCCGGTTCCTCACCAGGACTATAGATTTGCCCTCAACCCCTGTGTGCTTACACAGGGTCCTAGGATAGTGCCTAATTCTAACCAGCTCCCTGAAGCATTTGTATAACGCCCGCACCCAGGAACCCAGGCAGGAGTAGGCTCCCCCTAGATCCATCACCAGCACCTTGACACAGCTGTCCTTGTCCCTTTCTGTCCGTCACCTTCCTGCTTCTGTGTGTGATCCACTGACTGGCTCATACTTCCTTCTCCCCAAGGACATATTTTTTTGAAATCCCTGCACGCAGGTCCTGCCCAGGGTCTGACACCAGTAATTCAAAAGCACTGGAGTATTCGAGGGAGCTCAGACTGACTCCTGGAGGAACTGGTCCATCAGAATGCTCCAGAAGACACCCTCCCAGCTCAGGGGTCCTTGTGAATGAGCGAACGCTTTTTTAATCAACATTGCCTGAGCCTGAAAGGAGGCCGATACCTACCTGAGAAGCATCTTGTGGGAAAACCGCATCAAAGGCAAACATCTTTGGAGGAACCTGGTTGCCTCTCTTGGGGAAGGCATTTTGACCTCCACAAGTCAGGGGATCATACAAGGTGATCTGCTTCTTCCGTGGGTCCACCTTTAAGAAAGAGCTGGATTCTGAGGTATCTCGAGCCAAGGTAGAACAGACGCGAAGCATGACTTTCACCTGTTAAGAAAAGAGGGGCAACAGCAGGGATGAAGACAGCACCCTTGTGTACTCTGCGAGTATAAATACACATGGCGGCACTGAGCTTCCTCAGGATAAATGAGGGTGAAATGCACAGTGGATCAGCAACACCATCCTCGCCAAGCCGTGGGGAAACGGATTTATTTATACTGACCGGGTGGATATGCCCATTACTTCAATATGGAGACGGCACATCATGTTCTTAGTCTTCCTATTAATATAAATTGAATGTTAACTGTGCCCGCATGGCCCAATTACACAGATGAAAAGGTAATCTGGGCTGCCAAACCGTAGAGGCTGGTGTGGTTTCCTTGAAGCTCACAGATCAATAAATCATGCACATAAAAGTTAGCTCCATAATGTACTCCCCGGCCCAGCTCATCAGGACTCCGGGAGACAAAAATCCACAGTTATTAGTGTCATCATGAAAGCGCCGTGAAATGGCCTGCTTTTAATGGCCAGCACTGGAAACGCGTTCCAAGGGGCAACAGTGATCAAGGACCGGTTTGCAACATGTTATCTGGGATCCCATTAAATGAGCGCGGAGTTGCCATTTCAGAGAACAGAAGGGCATCTCTGGAGGAAGCAGGAGCACTGCCCTTTAACCCGCTTTCTGAGTAACTGAACACTGAGCACCTCTGGTGCTCACCACCAACCCGGCCCCACTCCTGCAGGTGAGTGAGGTGCTTACGGAAATGCACAGTCTGCCTTGGGGGCCCAAGGTGAACAGAAATCAAGCTGAAGCCTCGCACAGGTCTGCAGGCTACAGTCCTGGGGAAAGGGACGGCATTTGTTCTAAGCAGCTCCTTGTGACTGTGTTGTCAGTTCAGTCCAACAAATAATGGGCACTTACTTGAAGCACCTACTATGGCACTTATGTGGAGACCTACTATGTGCCAGGCACTGTGCTAGGCATGCGGGATCCAAAGATAAGTAATGCATAGAGTAGCAGGATAGCCAGACACAGCTACAGGTCATCTGAGTAATATATGGCAAATTCTGAAGGAATGCACGAGGATTATTTCTAAAGTCCTCTGTGTTTTGTTTTCTTTGTCTCATCAGTTGTTGGAGTTGATGAAATCTCTGTCGTGTAATTTGGGGGTGGAGGGGTGGCTGTAAATTTTTTTTTTTTTAAGACGGAGTCTTGCTCCAGGCTGGAGTGCAATGGTGCTTGGCTCACTGCAACTTCTGAGTTCAAGTGATTCTCCTGCCTCAGCCTCCCAAGTAGCTGGGATTACAGGCATGTGCCACCACACTCGGCTAATTTTATATCTTTAGTAGAGATGGGGTTTCTCTATATTGGTCAGGCTGGTCTCAAACTCCTGACCTCAAGTGATCTGCCCACCTTGGCCTCCCAAAGTGCTGGGATTACAGGTGAGCGCCACCGTGCCCAGCCGTAAATTTTTAAATAGAATATTCCAACTTATAGAAATGCTCAGAGAATCATATATTTTGTGCAAGCTGGCGATCCTCCTGCTGACCTCAGCTCTACCTGCTGAGCCAACTCACCTACAGTGCACAAAGCTGAAGGGAAAGAATTCCAAGGGCACTGGGTCCCCAGGTGTCCTGCACTGTGTCCCAGCTGTGCCTGCCTTGTAACTGAAGGCAGTAACTCTGTGTAGACCCAGAAGCTGGTGTCATGGTGGAAGAAGCCCGAGCGTGGGATGTGCTCCACCTCTCAGGATTTAGATCTTGCTTCTCCCATCGCGACGTCATAGAACAATACCTGCCGTGTTGTCTTGTACACCAGAACTGTGCTGTTATCTACGTGATCTCATTGAATCCTCCCAATGCTCTAGGGTGGAGGTATACCTTTCCAGATCTTACAGATGAAAAAATGATGTTATATAAAACCCCGTGTCACTGAACCTGTGGGAGGAAGGCTGGACTTGGATCCCACCTCCAAAGCCTGCTCTTTTTCCATCATGCCAACTGCTGCCTCCCACAGATAGTCACACTTCTTAGAGCCCCAGCTTCCTTATCTGTATAGCCTAACAATGCCCATCATATTGGCGGGTGTAAAAATTCAATGGACCAGCATGTAAAGTGCTGAATGTGGCATAAGCACACGGTGGGCATTCCATTCCTGTGTCTCTTCCTCCCTCCTCCCTTTACTTGCCTTCTCCTGGATCATGATAACCTATCATTTTCCAATCACGATGTTTATGGTAACGTTTTAGACTGGGCGTGGTACCCATATATGAAATCCCAGTGCTTTGGGAGGCAGAGGTGGGAGTTCAAGACAGGCCTAGGCAGCATGGCAAGACCCCATCTCTACAAAACCTTTATTTAAATAAACAGCCAGGTGAGATGGTGCACACCTACAGGTCCCAGCCGCTTGGGAGGCTGAGGTAGCAGGGTCACCTGAGCTCAGGAGTTCAAGGTTACAGTAAGCTATGATCATGCCACTGCACTCCAGCCTGGGTGACAGGGGGAGACCTTGTCTTTTCAAAACATAAAACAAAACAAAACATGATAAGGTTTAGAACCCCTTGCCCTGGACTCTGGATAGCATCAATCACAAGCAGGATACCGTGGGGGATCCCTGGCGGGCAGAGCTAGTTATTAAGCACCGGGCCCCCAGGGCTCCTGCTAGTAAAACAGCCAAATCCCACACAGCCGCTACGCACAGGACAATAACCACTAGGTTTATCTGCATTCATTCTGGCAACTTCCTTGTTCACTGTGCTTTTATAGTCTGATTTCAGTTCCATTCATTTCTGTAGCTTTGCCTCAGTTACACAGCATGTGTGCTAAGAGTGTGTATTCAAACCTCCACTTTTGGAAGGCACCTGGGACCTCAGGCTTTCTGTGAGCAAATCTCCCAGTCTAGCCTCCGAGCATTGCAAGTCAGGGATGACGCAATGCCAGGCAGGACTGATGGGGCCACGGCCCACTGCTTTTCTATTTCACAAGCCTGCATGCAATTTCTGGGTAACTAGAGGTGCTGAATGTAAAATATGAGCTAAGCCAGGCAAGGGCCTACAGGAGAAACGGGCAAGAAGGGCTGAATTAGTGAGTCATTTGTCCAGAAGGAATGCTCTGGCATCTTAATGAAATCCCAAGCCTGTGGCTCATTTTCTGTAGAGAGGCTGAGGATCCCGGTCACTGGTCTGGCCAAAGAGATACACAGTTCTTTAAAAACCCATTGAGCTCCAAGCTGGGGGAAATGCCACACTCTATTCTTTTCTTTGCAATTCATCTAACTAAATGGACATTTTTTTCCCTTTAAAGGAAGGAAATTGAGTTTTTCTGCTTCACCTCCTTTGTCTCATTATTCCTTTAGTCCAGCACTCCACTTCCTGCTTAATCCGCTGTAATTAAAGTGCTGAGGAGACACCACTTGTGATCCAGAAGGCCCCTCGGACCCCTCGCCAGGAGTTCTTGGTTTTGTCACTAACGCTCTTAGGTTCTTGGCAACGGCTGCTCCAGCCCCGCCTCTCCCTGCTGCTCTTACATAGAGAGACCAGGCAGTTACTAACATGCACCGCCTTCTCCCCAGCTCTCGGGGTGGAAGTGACAGTCACTATGTCACTCCCCAGGGTAGACCTGCAGGGAATGGGATCCAGAAAGCAATAGGAACAGTCTGAGTGGTGGCCAGGAAGGGCTGACACCCTGATTCCAGCAAGAGACTGGCATCTCCTGCACCCAACTTCCCACTGGTGGGGACCCCACTCTGCCCTGTTTGTCTAATGAATCCGCGGATGGAGTGGGACAGCAGCAGCTATCTTTATGTCCTGCTCATTCATCAGTTCAGCTTGTTCTGGACGGCATCACGGGACTGAGGGAGAAAGGAACTGTGAGACACGCACAGAGAGAGGCAGCACCTCGCTCCCGAACCGCACAGACACTCACTCCGTCAACACGGAGGCAATCGCTGCCTGCCACACAGCCCGACTGGAGTCTGAGGAGCGGCCTGTAATCACTCCCCTCGACTGCTATCCATGATCACCGCACACGGATATTCCTGTTTGTCCCTCGTCATGGAGCACAGCCCCGTGCTGCACGCCTAGGAGAGTCTTGTTGGCCTGTTTCTCTACCCAGAAGCTATTCGGCTGGAAGTTTTCTGCAGACTCCAGCATTCAGGAGGGCTATGGGCAAAACGTGACCACTGGAAGGATCCCTCAGCCATGAGAAAAAGACTGCAGGCTGGGCGTGGTGGCTCACACCTGTAATCCCAGCACTTGGGAGGCCTGAGGTCAGAAGTTTGAGACCAGCCTGGCCAACATGCTAAAACCCATCTCTACTAAAAAAAAAAAAAAAAAAAAAAAAATACAAAAATTAGCTGGGCATGATGGCAGGTGCCTGTAACCCAGCTACTTGGGAGGTTGAGGAAGGAGAATCACTTGAACCCGGGAGGCGGAGGTTATAGTGAGCTGAGATGGCGCCACTGCACTCCAGCCTGAGCGATAGGGTGAGACTGTCCAGAAAAAAAAAAAAAAGACTGCAGGTGACGAGAAGGTGGCAGGAGCAGGGAGAACTCCACCAGCCCTTCTCACGTGCGAGTTTGTTTCAACTTATTTTGTGCATACCCACGACAAAGGCCCCTATAGACACACAGGAAACTGCGGACAGTTCCCTGACCTGAGTCTTGGCCATGACAACGCCCAGTAGGAGCGTGTGGGTGATGAGAAACGGTTTTCACCTCTACAACGTTCTAGGCTACAGAGTTCAGGTCACCACTGGCTCTTCCGATCCCTTCGCCTCTGTCTGATGTTTGAATTCCCGGGTTCCTGAGAATCAGCTCAGTAGAAACTGGAAACAAAGCAGGAGCACCATTTGACGTCATTTCTGTCCCAATCCCAGCAGGGCTGGAGTCAACTCTAAGCTTTCCACATCAGTCTTCAGTTCTCCAGGGGAAAGCAGCGGCGAGTAAGAACGGGCCATCGCCGGGAAGAATGACGGGAAAAGTAGAAAATGGGAGATTGCCAGAGGGATTCTCAAAGCAAAAGGGTCACTGCATGAGACAGACAGCAGAG